TCCTCCTCCTTCCTCCTCCTCCTCCTTCCTCCCTCCCTTCTCTCGTCTCTCCCTCCTCTTCGTACTCTTCCTCTCTCCGTCTTCCTCCTCCTCCCCCGCCTCTCCGCCTCTCCGTCTTCCGCCCATCGCCTCCGCCCTCCGCCCTTCCTCATTCTCTCCTCCCTGCCCCCGTCTCCCTCTCATCGTTAGCTGTCTCGCAGGCCCTTAAGGAAGATGTACATTACTCGATGAGAAACCCAAAGTGCACTCGCCTATGTCACAACGAAAACATGGTACCTAGTATCCCTCCTGCTCCCTGCTCCCTGCTCCCTGCTCCCTGCTCCCTGCTTGCGTGATCCTTTCTCCTCATCTTTATCTTCTCCTTCCCTTCCCGCCTCTCATCTCCCTCTGACTCTTGCTCAACTTCTTTCCTCTTCTCCCTACCAACTTATTCTTTCCCCTGCACCCCCATCATCTTTCTTCGATATCTCCTACATATGCGCAAAGGATGTTGCTCCCTCCCTCCCTCCCTCCCTCCCTCCCTCCTCTCCCTCCTCTCCCTCCTCGCCCCTTTCCTTCACCCCTCTCCTTCACCCTTCTTATTGAGTAACGGGACGTTCAAGGGCCTTGACATGCTTGGCAGGTGGTGGTGGGGACACTGGAAGGCGGTTTGTATCTAATAGATGTATACTGAATGAAACCTTTTCTGTGTTTGCTTTCTACACCCCCGCTTGACAAACATTTGAGATGTAGATTCTGAATCGCTCACATTCTGGACAACCATCATCGTTGTCGCACCCTATACTGAGTAACCATCTTTCTTCTCCGCTCACATTGCTCCAGTTTACCTCCCCTCCTCCTCTCCCTGCCTTACCTCGCTGTTCCACTCTCCCCCTTCCCACCACTCGACACATCATCCCACTTCACCTCCTGCCCCTCCTCCTCTCCTCCTCTGCCATTTCCTTCCTCTTCCCGCCATTTCTTGCGTCTCTTCGTCATCTCGCAGCAGCTCATCGCTGTCCGACCATTCCCACCTGCCCCGGCCGCATTGTCGGGGAGATTGCAAGGAGTACCCCACCCCCCCTCAGCATCAACGACCGTCTTTGATATACCACCCTCACCTGCCTGTCAACTTTGTACTACCCTGCTGTACCCCCCACCCCCCTTTCCCTTACCAACCTCTACCAAGACAATATACCCCCTACCCCTGCTTAATCATATCTACCCCCAACTCCCACCTACCCCCCGACCAATCGCTATACCCTTTTTGTACCCTACCCTACCACCCGATACGATCCCTTCTTACTACCCGTCTATCATCTTTTTTTCTGCATAAGTAGACAACTAGACCACCCCCTCGGTTGATATCTTCATCATACCCCCACCCCTCTCCAAATAGTGAAGAACCCCGGTATTGCGAGTACCCCACCCCTCAACGAGCCCCCAATCAGATCACCACCCGCCTCAGATACTCCATCAGCGACGCCATCCGTTGCCTGCGTTTTTCCCGGAAGAGCTCCTTAAAAATTTCAAATATTCGAATATTTTTGTTATAATTACAAATTAAGAAACAATATTCATTCTGAGGTTTCAAAAGCGCCTAGGTAACGCCCAGTCCGAATCTTGGAGGCACACTTGGACAAAGGACTATGGCAGGCCGGCCAGCGCCGCCGGCTGAACGTCGTAGAGTGTCGGGAGGGTGGGACATGGCAGGGATAACGGGAGTTAGCATCAACCATGTTGGAACAGACCAACATGCGCGGCAGAGGCCCAAGTCGGCGCTCGTAGGAAGGAAGATCGTCGGCCATGGAAGGTGAGGACAATTTTGAACTTGTGTCGCTGCCCGAAGTGTTGGTTCGAGGCTGTTGAGCTATGTTCTCGTCTTGTCTGGTTTCTTTTCCTGTCTTCTCGTTGAATCTTCTGGTTTGCCTCATTCCATGTAGCTCAGCCCTCTGCTCCCATCACCTCCATGGCTTCCCATTGTTGACCTTGCCTCCATGCTTTGAGCTCGGTACTGAGCGTGCTTGCCTTTCTGGACGCGACATGTGCTGAACTACTTGGCACGTGTCCTGTGACAGTTGATCCTCTCTTCCTTGCTGCATGCCCATCCTCATCGCTGTCTCTGTAGTCCTCTCAGCTGGACCCCATCGTCGTTCACGGTGCGCTAACGTGTTTTCAGCAACATCGTGCCCTACAAGACAGAGACGAATGGTTGCGGCACGGAGGACGGAGGAAGTTTCCGCAAGACGTCGTCGGTCCCGATCATCTACCCGCAGGAGAGGCACAGCATCTCAGGAGCAGACCCTTCGAAGCAAATCAACGGTTCTTGCGAGCTCCTGGGCATCAAAATCCGACCCCTCAGCGCTTTCACGACGTCTAGTGGGATGAAAGGAGCCGCGTCCGCTACTGAGAAGGTGAGAAGGGGATGCAGAGTGAGAGCAGGAGCCGAGGGGATTAGAGAGCAAGGGGAGGGGAGGGGAGGGGACAGTGGGAGAGCTGGGGAGGGGGAAGAGGAGAGGGGGAGGGGAGGAAGAGTGAGGAGGGATGTAAGAGGAGGGAGGAGAGTCTTAGTTGATGGTGCTCCTGCAGTTTGAGATTGAGGAGCTGAAGAAGGAGATCCTTGAGATCACCAGGAGGCTGAACACGATGAAGGACATGTCAACGGTGCAGCTTCAGGCACAGGTGTTGTGCAGTGGGTTGATGAGACGGAGGCCATGCTCAAAAGGTTCGTGTGTACCAGCGACCCGACGCAGGTGAGGGCTGCGAGCATGGCAGGGGAGGAGGCGGTGAGAGGTTCGGGCAGGTGCACATGGCCAAGAGCTCGCTCATGGCGCTCGTGCTCCAGAGGCACGAGGAGTTCCAGCGGTTTGCGCTGTGTGAGATAGGAGGAGTAATGGTGGAGAATGGCGGAGGTCAGTCGCTTCGGGGGGGCTGGGGCGAGGATGCAGGACCCGTCTGAAGGTGCTGGACAACCTGGTGGAGAAGGTGAGAGGAGAGCATGCTCGCTTGCTGCTTTGACTCGAAGCAGGCCAAGGAGCTCCACCATGAGGCTCTGGAGAAGGGGAAGGAGCATGTGAGCGCTGTGGAGGCCCTGCAGACGGCCCAGCTGGAGATCAGGAAGCTGACGGAGGAGCGAGAGCTGCTACGAGCCACCCTGTCGCACGCGAGCAAGTCCAAGGGAGGAAGCATGCAGATCATTCGGCCGTTCTCGGCGTCGAGGGTGAAGGAGAAGCCCGTGGAATCGCAGCTGGAGAAGAGCTGCTCGGGCTGCGAGACGCTGGAAGAGCAGCTGAAGGAGAGCAGGGGGAAGCTGGTGGGGGCGAGGAGGGAGGTGGAGGGGCTGGAGGAGAAGGTGGCTGGGCTGCAGCGGGAGAAGGAGGAGCTTCTGGCGCTAAAGTTGAGCCTAGAGCAGAGGAACGCCATGGCGAGAAAGTCGGGTGAGGAGATACCAGCTGGGGTGAAGGATTTGGAGGAGCTGAGAAAGAAGGTAGCGGCGCTGGAGAAGACGTTGAAGGGGAAGGAGGAGGAGGTGCGAGCAGCCAAGAAGAAGGCGGAGGAGGAGGCGGGGAAGAGTGCGAAGCTGGCGAAGGAGGTGAAGGACAAGGGCGAGCGGATCAAGGAGCTGGAGAAGCTTCTGGGGGAGAGCAACAGCAAGGTGGAGGAGGGAGGGAGGGAGGGAAGGAGGAGGGAGGGAGAGAGGCTGGGAGGGAGGGAGGGAGGGAGGGAGGGTAGGTGGTTGGCAGAGCGGGTGGTTGGGTTGTTGGCAGAGCGCTCCTGGAGCTGACGGGGTGAGCAGGTGAACGTGCTGGAGAAGAGGATCAACGACTTGTCGCTGAACATGCAGGCCAACGACGAGAGCAACGACAGTGCGTTCCAGAGAGAGCGGCAGCTGCTGAAGCAGATCGAGCTGCTGACGCAGGAGATGACGGAGGCGAGGAAGGAGGCGGAGAGGTCGCAGGAGAGGGTCAAGGTGGTGCAGAGAGAGAAGGAGGAGGCGCTGGAGGCGCTGGGGGGCCTGAAGAGGAGGATCAAGGAGGAGGCGGACGAGTCGGATGCGATCCAGAAGAAGCTGATAGCGGAGATGAAGCAGCTCAAGGAGCAGCTGGGCTCGAGCCAGCGAGAGGTTGCGAGCAGAGACAAGACGATCGGGCAGCTTGAAGTCAGCGTGAGGAACGGGAAGGTGGGGAAGAGGAGCCGAGCACGCGCAGCCGGGTAATTGTGTGCGTTGCTGCAGGACAAGATCTCAGAGCTGGAGGAAGAAATTCAGGCGCTGAAGGGGTTGATGGGGAAGAAGGATGAAGCTGAAGAGCTGAGAGGAAAGGTCAGGATTGCACCACCCTCCTCCTTCTCCTCCTCCTGCTCTCCTCCTCCTCCTCCTCCTCTCCTTCTTCTCCTCTCCTCCTCCTCCCTTCTTCTCACTATTCCTCCCTTCTCCTCTCCCCTCTAACTGCTTCTTCACCTTCCTGCCTTTCTTCTCATCATCCCTCCTCCTCCCTCGCGCGCTGACTGGGGGCGTGCAGGTTGGGCAGCTTCTCAGCTCCAACGGGGAGCTCAAAGACAAGGTGACGGTCCTGGGCAGCGAGAAATCCGCGCTGGAGGGGGAGGTAGGAAGTCCTTCCTGCTGCTGCTGCTGCTCTGACGCTCAGCAGCTCTCAGTGCTGAGGAAGAAGTGGGACGGGAGGGAGAGGGAGTGGCGGCAGGAGGTGGAGAGGACGGAGGCGGAGCAGAAGAAGGAGCGGGCGGCGCTGGCGGAGAGGGTCAGGCTGCTGGAGGGGAGGAGCAGCGAGTGGGAGAAGGGCAAGGCAGAGTTGCTACAGCTGAGAGAGAGACTCAAGGAAGTAGAGGTGCTTTCCTCCCTCGCCCCGTTCCCCTCCTCCTCCTCCTCCTCCCCCATCCCCTCCCCCTCCTCCTCGTCCTTCTCGCTTTCGTTCTCGTCTCTCCCTCCATTCCCTCTCCATTTCTCTCTTTGCCCCCTCCCGCCCCTCCCCTTCCTCCATCCACTCGCTGATTCTGATTTCTCGATCGTTGTGGCAGAAGGAAGGCAAGGACTCCTCGAGTAACTTGTTCTTGTCCTGCCTTGTCCTGCTCCTCACATCCCAGCAGGCAAAGAGCTGGACATGAAAATCCTCAAAGATGAAGTCGCTTCCCTCCAGCAGGTCGATACACCCTCCGCCTCCTTCTTGCCTGCCTGCCGCCTTTCCTGTGCTCTTCCTCCAGCTCCTCCTGTTCAGAGCTCTCCCTCCCTCCCTCACCCTCTCCTCCTCTCCTTTCCCTCCCTCCCTCACCCTCTCCTCCTCTGCTCTCGCCCTCTGGCCCTCTCCTTTCCCTTCCCTCCCCCTCAACAATCTCGCAGGCGCTACAGCAGCTGCAGCAGCAGCATGACGGCGCTCAGAGTCGATGCGTTGACCTGGAGGG